CTTGAATCACTTCATTCTGCTTAATTGAACTGATCTGCTGCCACCAAACTTTAAAACAATAAGAGCAATGTTGCAGACCTTCCCAGTTTACAGGTGCTATATCCCAGATCCTTTTTGCTCTTGCACAGGAGAATAAAATGTGTTCTGAAGTTTCAGGATGATCACCACAAATGGAGCAGATTGCACAGATATCAATCCCTCTCCTCTTCAAGTTAGTTGCAGTTGGCAAGGTGTCTGAAATATATTTCCAGAGGAAATGTTTGAGTTTTCCTTGAATCTTCATTTTCCAACATCTCTGAAACATCTGGTGAGGAGGAGTAAAGCTAGAGCTGGCTTCTGGAATGTCTAGGAGAAGGATCTTCTGAGCTACTAAAAATTTATAAGTGCTAGAAACTGTGAAATTTCCTTTAGGATCAGGCCCCCACAATAATCTATCTGGTCTATCTGGATTTAGGGACTTAATCTTCAGAATTGCAGCACTATCTTCCTGATCAAAGACTTGTTGAACTAGCCAGTTGTTCCATTGAAGGCCATTGTTCTGCAGGAGATCCTTAACCCATACTAAGTGCCCTTGAGCAATATCAATCAGTGAAGGAGAGGGCTTTTTCAAATTAGGAACCCAATTCAGGTCTTCAATCTTTGTGTTTGAGCCATTCCTTATTTCAATCCTTACACACTTAGCAAAAGTTGGCAGCACTGAGAGCCAACTGTTCCAGAGCCATGATCCTTTGATCTTTTTCTCAGCTTTGAACAAGGATCCATCAGGGAAATATCTATCCTTCAGAATTTTACTAATCAGAAGATTAGGATTTGAAAGGATTCTCCATAGCTGCTTGCATATTAAGGCTTCATTGAAGAGCCTTATGTCATGAAATCCTAATCCTCCCTTCAGCTTGGGCAAAGTGATCTTCTCCCATTTTTTCCAGTGTATCCCAGATTTTGTATCTCCTGATTTCCACCAAAATGTGGCACACAACTTGGATATTTCCTTGCATATAGAGACTGGAAGTTTGAAACATGACATTGAAAAGAGAGGAAGAGCTTGAAGCACTGATTTTATCAACACCTCCTTTCCAACTGTTGAGAGAAGCTTACTCTTCCATCCCTGCAGCTTGTTCCTAACTGAGGTCAGGATATAGTCAAAAACCTCTTTCTTTGATCTTCTTATTCCAAGTGGCAAACCAAGGTATCTGGTTGACCTATGAGGGACAATGCCTTGAAGGACCCCACATATTCTATCCCTCAAGTGTTGAGGGGTATTTCTACTGAAAAAGATACCTGATTTTTGAAGGTTGACTCTCTGGCCTGAGAACTGCCTGTATTTATCCAGAATAGAGAGAATTTGAGAGGCTTGTTCAACTCTAGCTTTGCAGAATAAGAGAGAGTCATCTGCAAACAGCAGATGAGTGATTGCTGGCACATTTTTAGAAAGTTTGACGCCCTGAAAACCTCCATGAGTCTGAGCATTAGTGATGAGGGCAGAGAAGAGTTCTGCAACAATGATGAACAAGTAGGGGGACAGAGGGTCCCCCTGTCTTATGCCCCTACTTGGAGAGATGAAACCACTTATTTTACCATTGATCTTGAAAGAAATAGTGGTAGTAGAGATACAAACCATAATCAGCTTAATGAACTTCTGGTGGAATCCCATTTGAGTCATAATTCCTTCAATGCTGGGCCATTCCAATCTGTCAAAGGCTTTCATTAAGTCTAGCTTCAAAGACATAAAGAAGTTCTTCCCAGAAGAGTGCCTGTTCAGAAAGTGGAAGGCTTCTTGAGCTATGACTATATTGTCCATTAACTGTCTGTCTTTGACAAATGCTGATTGGTGAGGGCTAATACAAGTAGACAGACAGAGCCTCAGTCTCTGAGGTAAGACTTTGGAAAGAATCTTGTAAATCACACTGCAGAGGCTGATTGGTCTAAAGTTGGCCAAAGTTTCAGGATGAGCTGTTTTTGGAACCAAAGATAAGATGGTGTGGTTCCAGTATTTCAGAATGGCCCCTGATTGGAAAAAACAGAGAATAGCAGCAAATACATCATCTTTAACCAGAGTCCAGAAATGCTGATAGAAAATAGCATTCATGCCATCTTCACCTGGAGATTTGTCAGCAGGCAGAGAGAAAAGAGCATCCTTCACTTCTTCTTCTGAGACTGGTTTCAGTAGAGCTTGGTTCATGTCCTCAGAGATAGATCTTGGTATGAGATTGATGATAGATTCCCCTCCACTACTTCCTTCAGCAGTAAAAAGATCCCTATAAAATTCAGCAACATGGAGCTCAATATCTTCTTGAGTAGTGAGGGCTAAACCTTGGGGAGAGAGCAATCTAGTTATGGCATTAAGCTTCCTTTTCTGGAGAGTGTATGCATGGAAGAACTTGGCGTTGGCATCTCCCTCCTTGAGCCAATTTAGTTTTGCTCTTTGTTGCCAGTGCAGCTCTTCCTGATTATGTGCTGCATTAAAATCTGCTCTAGTCTGATTCCACTCTTCCCAGTGCCCTTCAGCTTTAGTTGCTCTCAGAATTTCTAGCCTCTTGGTAAGGACTTCAATTTTTTGCTGGTTCTGAGATTTGAACTTTGAGCTCCAGATGAGAAGGGCAATTCTGGCGTTTTTCACTTTCTCCTTGAGGATGAAGAATGGAGTTCCTGAAGTAGGTTGATTCCAAGCTGAAGTGACAATATCTTTAATTCCATCTCTCACAAGCCATCTTTTGTCAAAGTGAAATCTAGCTGATGATTTAGCCTGGGGATGACCTTGATGGAGGAGGATCATTGAGTGGTCAGAAGCACTCCTAACAATGTTGGAGACAGTGGCATTGGGATTACTCAGGATCCAGCCATTTGATGCAAAAGCTCTGTCAAGCTTCTCTTCCACCAGCCCTTCTTCATTCCTCAGGTTACACCAAGTGTATTTGTAGCCTTGCATTGGGAGTTCTGCCATCTCCATATCATCAATAAAAGAATTAAAGCCCAGAAGGCTTCTGGCACTTCTTTGGATACCACCTGCTTTATCTTTTATAGCACATAGATCATTCCAATCTCCCATGGCAAACCACTCATTACCCCAGCTAGATTTATCCCTTACCATTTTCTCCCATTGCAAAGATCTGGTCTGTCTGCAGGTGCTCAAATAGACAAAAACTCCCCATTGAGGAGGAGCAGAGTCTATACTAAACTCAACAGCCATATAGAAAGATTTTTTAATAATATTGGAAATTTTTACATTAGAATCCCACAGGAGAAGTAAACCTCCACTAAGACCCAAAGGATCTACAAAAGAAAACCTATCAACAAAACCCAGCTTCCTAGCCACAGATTTAACAAAACCACTACATTTCTTAGTTTCAGAAAAAAATAGAAAAGAGGGGTGGTGAGACTTAATTATCTCTCTGATTTGGGAAACTGTAGAGGGCCCACCCAGCCCTCTACAATTCCACACCGCAGCTAACATTTAGGGTTGCGGTGCCATTTGAGGCTGGCATCCCCCACCTGATCTTGCTTACCCTTAGATTTCTTTTTTGATGCTGAGACTGTAGAACCTAGATCCTGAGATTGAAAGTCTTCCTCCCTAGCTCTCTTTGTGTTTGAACTGTCTTGAATCATCAGGTCTTGACTTGCATTCCTTTCCAACCTTCCTTCCCTACTCAGAGCTCTCTTCCAAGTCTCTAATTTAGTAGCTGGAGGGAGCATTGAGGAATGGGGAGTAGTAGCCTCCAGGTTGATAGGGGTTGGAGATACTTGAATAGCCAGTTCCAAATCCATGTCTTTGTGCTGGAGTGGTTCTACTACATCAGAAATGCTTAATTCCACTTGCTTCTTTGACGGGGTTGGAGGTAATGGGACTTTAGTAACTGAAGAGGGGACTCTGTAAATAACATCCTCTTGTGTGGAATTAGAGGCCGTTGTTTCTTGATGAGAATTGCTTGGAGTTGCTCTTGGATTTGAATTATCTGCTTCCCCTTATCAAAAGAGCTTGAAGAATTTCTGGGGGGAGAAGAAGAATCTGGCTGTCGGCTTGAAGATGGGGAGTGCCTGGAGCCAGATTGACCAATATCAATCCAATTTTGTCCCTCCACTACCTTAATCCAGTCCCCATACTGACCCTCCCTTACTGAGCCAGATTTAATTGCTTCCAGTCTCTTCTTGCAATCTCTGTGAAGGTGCCCTATGAGTCTACAATAATAACACAGATTATGCAGTTTTTCATACTTGAAGCCCACACTGATGATATCCTCGTCCAACTGAATATTGGTACACCTGGGGAGCGGTTCAGTGATATCCAAAGACACCAACAGTCTGAGAATTCTCCCCCCATGGCCACCAGAGCTGGCAATAACCACATTCCTTACAGATTTAAAGATTTTTCCTATTTTAAGGCCCACCTCGGTACTGAGACAGTTAATAGGGAGGTTCCATACCTGAACCCAGATATTAAACTGCTGAAACGCTGGGTGTTTGTTAGTCAATCCTCTTTCCCATTCCTTGAGGACTATATATTGGTTTTCGAAACTCCAGCTGAATCCATCTGCGACCTTCCTCATATCTTCTTTACTTTGAAATACAAACTGGAAGAAATTGTAGCCCAATTCCTTGACCTCCATATGTTGCTGCAGCCTCCATATATGGCTCATCGTCTTTTTAATTCCCAGCCATCCTGCCTTTCGGTCTCCTATCACCTTTCCAAATAGACTTTTGTGGCACTCCTCTGAACAAACTTTAATATCTTCATTCTCAATCCCAGTTATGAGACTTTCCTTCTCTGAAAGAGAGAATCCCTTAATTCTTTCCGCTAGGTCATCGTCATGGCCGATGCAGCTGGACTCCGCCATCAAAAGGGTATAGATCGACAATAAACTGAGAAGATACTCTAACCTCACACCACACGAAACCAGGAAGACGAAGAAAAAAACAGCCGGAGAAAGAACTCAGAGTTTCGCTCCCACTTGAGAGAATCGCCGGAACCGCTCCCACTTGAGAGAATCTTTTTTTCCTCTTTTTCGAGCACTTCTCTTCTGCATCTTCGGTATATGAGAATCCCATGTTTTTTTTTTTTTTTTT